TAACAAATACTAACATGATTTTTTAAAATAATAAAAAAAAAAAAAAAAAAAAAAAAAAAAAAAAAAAAAAAAGAAACTTTCATCGTATAAAACTGGAAAAAAATTTATTACATTTTGAATCGATAAATATTTTTTTTTTGTTTTTACTCAATCTGATTGGATTAATTTATAAATTTTTTTCTCCATCATCATCATCATTATAACTAGGTCTTATAGATGATGTAATTCAATGAAAATAATGAGATTTTTTTTTGCTATGTTTTTGTTTTTCTGTTTCTGTTTCTTCAAATCCAACTTTTGCTTAAGCTCAGAAATTCTGCAATCCATCCGGATGTATGATGATAATCGATGTAATGAGAAAAATAAATCACAAATATAACCAGACAAAAAAAAATTGATTAAATACATACATATGATGTGATTTCAAAGTATAGAAACTGGATAAATAGAAAATTTTCGTACAGAAACAAGAAAAAAAAACATTTTTTTGTTGTTGTTCCAATTACAACTCTAAACCCACACGCACACAACCGAACAACCAAATAAATGAATGAGTGTTGAGGATTAAAAATAAATTCACAAAGATTAAGACAACAACGAGATTAGGAAGACATAACATAACATTTATTCATGAATCAAGCAAGAAAGAGAGAGAGAGAGAGAGAGAGAGAGAGAGAGAGAGAGAAAAAGAGAAATTCTCATTATAATTTGATTTTGTTTTGGTTCGATTCGACCATTTTTCATTCTATCATCATCATCATCGTCATCATTATTTTTCTTGGTACAAAAACCAACAACATAAAAACATTAAACCAAACTAACCAATCAAACAAACAACAAAAACATAGAATTGATTTCGATTTTTCCCCCAAAACAAAACGAAAGATTTATTTATCGAGGATAATTATAATTGAGGGAGAATGAAAAACGAATTACTGAATTTCACCGAAATGATAATCTTGATTAATTATTTAGAAAAATAAAAGATTTTGAATTACAAATTTTCTTTTTTGAGTGCAAAAAAAAGCTTGTTGTTGTTGTTTGTTTGTTTGTTGTTGTTACAAATAAAATTCTGTTCGATTACAAATGGGGAGGTTACCGGAAATGTTATCATAAGATTTTGAATCGAAATTCAATTTATTCATTTATATAATCAATCAATCGATGATAAATTCATTAAATAACATTAGACCGATCCAACATTCTCCGCCCAAACGTTCTTCGTATGATGCCAATTTTCTTTCTTACTATCTTTATTTCTTCATCATGTTTGATCATCAATCGAAAAGATTCTTTGTTTGTTATCATATGATCATCAAATTGAATTAAACTTTTTAACATCAACATTGCATCGGCTACAACATTTTTATAATAACAACAAACCTAAACAAACAAATAACAAATAGCAAAAAAAGAAAAACAAACATCATCATCATGTTATCGTATTATCTAATGTTTAAGAATGTTTTCGAAAATAAAAACGTTTCACCAAAAAGAAAAAAAACACTAACATTAAGAATTGAAAAAAAAGAAGAAGAAAACATTTGAACAAATTCTGTTAATGATCGATAATCAATCAGTAAAACAATAGAAAATGAAATGAAATAATGTCCAAAAAACTATCATTATTCATTTGAGAAAAAAAAGAGAAGAAAAAGAAAAAAATTATAATTTTATGTTATAACATACTGTTTACACATAAAAACATATAAAAAACGAGATAAAAATCTAAATTGCATACAATAAATTATTCATTATCATCATGGTTCGTATTAAAGACCTTGAAAATATTTCTCAAAAATAACATAAAATATTTCATTGATAAATCAATAAAATAATTATCATTAAATAAAGTCTTATTATAAGAAAATTCCGTGAATTTTTTTATTTTGACAATTTTATCAATTCGGTCAATTTCGATAAAAAAAAATTTCATACTACAAGTAATGTTATATCTAATGATTTATCTATTATTGGAAATAACGTCTTATTCTAAGGAAATTCCATGAAATTTTTGTTAAATTTCCTTGATAATTTTACTTTCGGCAAGATCATACATACAAGATCAAGATTTTACAGCCTTTATAAAAGTCCAGTTATGTTTTCAAATTTATTTCAATCATTTAATAAAATTGAATTGAAATTAAATCTTCATGAAAAATGTTTTTTCATTCAATTATCTTGACCATTGCTACAGCTATAATTGTCATCAGTGCAATTTAGTAAGAATTTAATTTTAATTTTTTTTGATATTAAAACTAATGAATAATGAATAACAAAATTCAGTAAATATTATAGATGTCATACATTTTGGCAACGTCAAGGAATAAAAGCCCGTTATGTACCCGATTTTGGATGGATGAGAGAACCAATGCATGAATTTTTTTATCGAGAAGCAAAAAAATTTGGCAATATTTTTGGAATATATGGTATAGGTAATTCTTTTTTGATTATGAATGATCCGAAAATAGCTCGCGAAATATCAACCAAAGAATTTCATAAATTTCCAATTCGTTGGGGTAATTATTTTGGCAAAACATCAGTGATACTTTCATTGGTATTTATCCAAGATTATGATGCTTGGAAACGTATTCGAGCAATTGCTGCTCCGGCATTTACATCGGCTAAATTAAAAGCTATGATCACTCCTATCAACAATATTTCGAACAATTTTGTAAACAATTTGAAAAAACATGCTGAAAATGGGGAAATGTTCGATATGAAAATCTACACCAATGCATTGGCCATGGATGTGATTGCTTCGTGTGGATTTGGAATTGAACTGAATTCAATTAATGAGTACAATCATCCATTGGTAAAACATGCTTTACGTATTATGAATGTGGATTTTACATTTAGCATGATTATTTGCATGGTATTTCCTTCTTTGGGAAGATTTTTGGATTTTGATCCTGTTGATCGCAAATCGGCCAAATTTTTTGATGATTTAACATTCAAGATAATTGAAGATCGCTTGAAAAGAAAAAATCAACGTAAGAATTATAAATCTAAAAATTTTTCCATTATTTTGATTCTTATTAAGGTAATTTTTCTCTCAGAAAAAAAGGATCTTATTGGTTTATTGGTGGAACAAACTGTAAATGACAATTCTGAATCAAATGAGATTGATAAAAAAGAACAGAAATTGAAAGGTATTAGTCGTAAAGAAATTGCTGGACAAGTTATCGGCTTTTTTCTTGCTGGTTATGATACAACAAATGTTGCGTTATGTCATATAATCTATTACCTTATTAAACATCCTGAATGGCAAGATAAACTGTATGAAGAATTGAGCACACATGATTCATCTTTAGATTATGAATCATTGCGAAATTTACCTATTTTGAATGGTGTAATTTACGAAACATTAAGACTTAAGCCACCAGTGAATTATATTCCACGTTTCACAAATAAAGATACAACATTGTTGAATACAGGTATCAAAATTCCGGCTAAAACAACAATACTTTCCCATCCATATATCATACATCGAATGCCTGAATATTTTCCCGACCCCGAATCATTTCAACCAGAACGTTTTATGGGAGAAAAATCAATGGAATCATCAATTGCTTATATGCCCTTCGGTTTGGGTAATCGTTTTTGTGTTGGTATGCGTTTTGCACTGATTGAACTTCGTGCGGCTGTTGCACACTTAATTCTCAACTATCGTTTATTACCGGATCCTAATCTAAAACTTGATTATTATAAGGGACATTTCATACTATCACCAAAACAACTAATGATACGAATCGCTAAACGTTGAACATATGAAATGTGTTTTAGATTGACAAAAGTTTTTTTATTATTATTTAGCATTAGAAATAACAGAAATAAAAATCTTTTTAAAAAAATACAAATGGTCATAACAGGTATTTTCTTGATCTCGATCTACATTTAAACATCGTAACGTTTTTATGAAAACAAAAATCAATCAAGCAAACAAGCAAAATAAATAGAAACAAAATTTACTTTAAAAAAGAAAAATAAATATTTGAAAAAAAAATTTCAACTTAGACATTAAGAATTAAGAATAATGTACAGTTCAAATGAAAACTAGTAGGAAAATAAAATCAAACATAAACAAACATGCACAGGTAACCATGATCATCATCATCATTCTCATTGAGCAAACAAAAAGCAAAAAGCAAATACAGAAGTTTTTTCTTCTTCTTCTTCTTTCTTATTTCATGATGATACAACACAAAAAAAAATTGATTGATTAATTGAATTAAATTCAATTGAATTGAATTGTTAAAAAATAAAATAAGAAATTTTAGTTAGACTTTGAGAAAACTTATCATTTTCTCTATAGTTGTTGTTGTTGTTGTTGTTGCTTCATTGAACAATCTTTTGTAGTTTTTTTTTTATTATTCTTTCAATTGTTCTGAGTGCAGAATCAGCACACCTACACCACACCCGTACATTCTGAAAAAAAACTTGATTAAATTGAAATTTAATTGATTTTTCTTCTCGGTTTTTTTTGATTCTTACAAAAGGTTTATTTGTTTATTAAGGTTCACTCAAACAACCGAAAGATTCTTTTAATTTAATGAACAATTTTTTTGAAAAGAATATGAATTCAGAAGAAAAAAAGACGACGAAAAAAAACAACAACAAAACTTTTCGATCATCAAACACCATACACACACACGGGAAATCTAATTAAAACACAATAACCAAAAAAAATTGAACAGAGAAAAGTCAATTAATATCGTTGGTGAATACACACAAAAACAAAAAACTCGATGAAACATATAAGCAAAAAAAAAAAAAAAAAAAAAAAAAATTAAAGGAAAAACCCGGTTTCTTGGGAAAAAAAAAAAAAAAAAAAAAAAAAAAAAAAAAAAAAAAAAATGGAAAAGGAAAAACAAAAATCAAATTGAAAATGAAATTAATATTCACCCTTTCATTTTTAACATTATATATAATCATATCAAAAGAGTCTATTATCGATGCTTTAGGGAAGTAAAAATTATTTTTTCATGTCTGAATGAAAATTGAAAAAGATATGTGTGAAAAAGAGAGTGATGAATAAATATTGCAAAATATTTATACATCAAGATGAAATAGATTCGATTCTTCATTTATTTGAAAGTATGAGAGAAGAAAAAAAATTGTCATGTAACCAAAAAAAAAGAAAAGAGTGAAACTGAAATTGAAATTGGAATTGAATCAAAAAGAAAAATATTTCGCAATGTTTTTGGATGAATCATTCTTCTTTCTCTCTTTTGGTGGATGCTTACAGTTCCAAACTGTTCATTTTTTTTTCCCACTGAGTTTATATCATCAAAACGAAAGATGTGGAAGAACACTAAGGAAAATTGAAAATTCATAAACAAACATACTCTGTTGCTATTTATTTATTTTGAATACAAAATTTCTAAATTTTGAAAAATTTAGCAATCAAAAACAGATCAATTTCTTCTTTCTGGTTTGTAAAACCATGAAAATGTCCAGCATAAAACGAACATTGAAAAAATTTAATGAATTTTTTTTAGACAAAATCCATCATATTAACCAACAATAACGAATGGACAAAAAGAGGAAAATAAAAGATTTGTACTTTTTTCTCTTTCATTGGAAAAATATTTTTCCAACCTGGAATACAGAATGTTTCGTTAGTTCAATCGTTTTTTATTCTGAATCTGTTTGAATCATGAATTCAGACAAAACACAGATGCACACACACAAATACACATCAATACAATCATCATTCATTCAAACCATAATACCTAGTAATAGGAAAAAAAACAGAATCTGTTTCATTTGGAACGAAACCTTTTTCTTCTTCTTCTTCTTCTTTCACCAATATAAAAATACATTGGTTGATTGTGTTGTGTTCGGTGTTATGCAATACATGTTCATTTTCTCACTTTGAAAAACTTTTCTTTTCTTCAATATTCGTTTAACCGATGAATTATGTTTTTCTTTTTCAATAATGAAAAGATTCGATAGAATCGATATTGTATTCTGGTGAGTTCGATAGAATCGATATTTCTGGAAAGTGGAAATAAAACAAAACAAACAAACGAAGAAAGATGATAATTATTATTTACCTCATTAATTTTTTTTTGTTTTTTTTGCTACAATTAAATTCAAGGATTTTTCCTTTGTCAAAATGTCAAAAATTAAGATTTTTTTTTCTGTAAAACAAACAAAATTCAAAATCAAGAATTTAAAATCGTTAAAATCAAAGAAAAAAATAAGATCTTTTTGCTTACAAAACAAAATATAATCTTTTGCAAAAAGGTATTTGTTTTCTTCATCTGAATTTACAAACATCAAATCACTAGGAAACACAAAAGAAGAATAAATATTTTTAAAAATTTAAAAATATTTTCATTCTGTTATCATTATTGTTGTTGGCATGGTGAGAACTGAATATTCTTAATGTTTAAATTTTCTTTAACGAAAGTTTTTTTTTATTTCTTTGACAACATAAAAGATTTCATGGATGTTATCAAACGTTATCATCATCTTAAAATTTACATCATCAAGATGGAGAGAGAAAAAAAAGAAAACTTTAAACAAAAGCAAAAAAAAAAGAATTCAAGTGAAACACAGGTTTCTCGGGAAAAAAAGACTAAACGACAACCTAGAATATTCTATGGAACGAATAACTGAATAAAATTCGGATTAATTTTATTTCAACATTTTATCTATTCATTTCATCTACCACCTCTACATATTTATTATCCGATTTGGCAATCAAATAAGTTATTATTATTTTATTTTTTTTTTGTTTTTAATTGGAACCAATGAAAACGAAAACAACAATTTTGTCATTCATTTACTATAGTTCGATCATAATCATCATCACCACCCGCGCTCATTATTCAATCTATTGAATGATCAACTCTGTATAGTATTTTGAACAAAGGAGAAAAAAAAATATATATTCCATCTTAATTGAATGTTACAAAATGAAAAAAAAAGAAAGAAACAGAACCATTTTAATAACCGATAATAATGATGACAACGGTGACAACATACAATGAAGTATAAGAAAAATAAAATGGTGTCCCTTTTTTCTTTTCATGATATCATCTTCTTTATTCTTCTTTTTTTTCTGGTCATTACGAATCATTATTAACATTGAAAGACCTGAAAAAGGCGTTTGAAAAAACGAAAGAAAACTGTGAATCAATTTGATAACAAAAAAATGTTTCTTCTTCTCTCATTTTTTTTTGTTTTGCTTCTTTGTTATTCAATGTTTTTGAATGTTTAATAATGATAATGATAATGGTCATTGTTATGATAATGATTATCTTGAAAATTCATAAACCCATTTTAGAAACAATGAAAAGAATTTCAAACAAAATGAAAATAAAGTGAATAAATGAGAGCCGAGAAATGAATTCCGAACATAACAAGAAAATCTCCTTAAAAAAAGAAATGGAAAAACTTTTCGTCGGAATTATGATGTGATGTGGATGAAAGGAATAACTCGAATGAATAACTAAAAAAAAATAACAACAACAAAACATTTCAAATGAAATTTTGTGCATCCAATTTCAATTGATGCGGATGATTTGAATAAAAGAAAAACGACCCAAAACCAAAAATAACAACAAAAATTGTTATTTCATAAAAAAAAAGAGGAGATGGGAACAAAAATGACATAAATGTAATAACTATTTTGACATGTATTCGGTTAGTTGAGGTGTATTTGGGGGGTGTGTTTTAACGTTCGAAATGTTTGAAAAAAATTCTGTTATTTAGATTTGTTCAATGTTTTTGTTTCCATGCATCAATTTCATCAAACTATTACCAAGGTCTGGCTGGATGGTCATCACAAAAGAAAAGAAACGAATCAAAATTCATGAATAAAAATAAGATAATTCTGTTTTTTTTCCACATGATGATTTTTTTTTTGGTTGAAAACATAGTTCTGTTTTCTATTTCTTTCTTTTCGTCTCTCAACGAAACGTATTGATTTAATCAAAACATTGTTGAAGGAAAAAAACAAAATTTGAAATTCAAATATCTTTTTTTGGAAGAAAAACAATTTTTTTTTCATTCAATTACCATTGTTATTGATGATAACACTGTTGTCCACTGTGAATATTCGTCGTTGGCGTTTGTTTGTTATCAGTTTCAAAAAAAAAAACAATTATCTTCATTATATCGGACACTGGACATCGACATTGATTTTTTGTTGTTGTTTTTGAAAAAAAGTTTAAAAATAATTCAATTTTGAAACAAAACAAAACACAAACAAAATTTAGTTTCGAAACACAAACAACAAGTAAATGAATGAATGGAAAGAAGAAAAAAATGTTCAAAATACCGGAAATATAAATGTGAAAAAAACAAGTTTATTTTGATCAAATCAAATGTTGTTTCTTTTTCGGTTGTTTTGAATTTAAAAAAAAAATATATATTTTATGTTGGTGGATCGATGAAAATCCAAGTAAGTTTAGTGGGTTGTTGTATGATGCGATCAACAGCCCGACAAAACAAAAACAACGAAACAAAAAAAACTACAAATAAACAAAACACTAACTGAATGAACAAAGAAAATGTTCGAACATTGTGTATATATTTGTTTCAATGGCTAAAATTGAAATGAAACATTTCAATTTGATTAGAAGGTTTCTTTTTTTTTCTTCTTGGGATACAGCAACAGCAACGAAGACGGGAAAAATTTTCTTCTTTTGATTCACGGATTCGACGCATTCAATGCCAACATTCAACAACAAAAAAAGAACAGCAAATAACATTGGTCGGGATTCTTTTCGATTCTTTCTTTCGGATATATCTAAAAATTCTGCAAAAAAAGTTGTGAAACACTGGCTTTTTGGCAGAGAAATAGAAACAAAAATAAAATGC